TCCGCCCTTTTCTTTGGGGGGGATGGCTCTGGGTGCTGAACCCAGGGCCTTGCACCTGCTAGACGACGGAGCTACGACTCCATCTCTGTAGTTTTGTTCCCAGACAGGGTCTTGCTAAGTTGCCCAGGGGAATTTGAACTCTCTCTGTGGCTCAAGCAAGCCTCAAATTTGCTGTCCCTTCTTAGCCTCCCAGGTAGCTGGAATAACAGGTCTGACATGATTCTGTTTGCAACCCCCAGCTTATAAAATATGAAAACTAGGGTCCCTACAGACTGCAGCATCGTAGGTGGGGACAGTACCCAGGCCATCCAACACATCGTGACAAATCTCCAATCAGAAATCCTTCCAAAGCCTTTAGGATGGGATGGAGGCTCATGTTGAGATCCGGAAGTGTCAGTCAGATACATACATGTCTTTCTTCTTGCAGCATCTCCCTGTCAGATAGCCAGTTACCAGAAGGTCGCTCCTGAGACCCAGCAAATAGTTCTTTGTGGCTCTCAGCTTCTGTGCCCAGGCCAGGAGAGGACCATGCTTGGTGGTTTCTGCCAACAGACATGAATCTAAAAGACAGTGTGCCTGATTACTAGCTATCAAGTTGTGTTTTTGGAAAGTCGGCCTGTGAAGCAGATGGCCTCTGCTGACTCGCAGAGAGAAGATCCTTTAAATAAGGCTTCTAGGCTTTCCTAACCAACACTGGGCAAAATCTAATGTTCACAAAGGAGGCTTAATTGATGGCCTGCTAGAAATGGCACTGGATACAGGACATGGAGGGTGGCCAAAGGCTCCTCCAAGGGTTGAGGCATTGGAAGGGCTATTTGGATCCTCTAGGGCTTTCTTATTTAGGTAGCAGTCCCTGCAGTGCTCAGGCCCTGCCCATGTGCTTTTGAAGGATGGATCAAAGAGATCAAGGACACAGTGTGTGTGTGTGTGTGTGTGTGTGTGTGTGTGTGTGTGTGTGTGGCTGTATGGTGTAGAAGATTCAAGATGTAGTCTGGTAGTATCCATTTAAGAACACTCAACAGAATACCCCAGGAACACTCAGCATGCCATGGGAAGCATTTTCTTTTAGCAGAGGCAGGTCTGGCTTTGTGCAGGGGATTTAGGTTTTGGAGTGACAGGCTCAGGATCCTGTGTCTTCTGAGACTGGGAGAGCCCAAGTCTCCAGGGCTGTGGGGAGAGGCCACGTGCCATGACCAGGATATCTAGGTCTTCAGGGGCGTCTCCAGGACTGGTATGTGGAGCCTGTGCTTCCTCCTGGGGAGAGAGTGCTGAGAGAGAGCAGCAGCTTGGCTGGCTGGGTGCTCTGAGTCTTCCTGGGAGACTGTGTGTCATCTGAGGTGGATGGAATGGATTCTTCTACTCTGCAGCTTGCATTCTAGTATGGCAAAGCACAAAACCCGGCATGGATTCCATACCAAGAAAGAGTAATGGCCTGGCACTGTCTAGTATTTCAGCTCTAAAGGAATGCAAAGCACCTCCCACCTCACCACCCCCTCCCCCAACACCTCATTTTGGCTCTGAGTATGCCTCAGGTAATAAGGAAGTGTATTTCCCTGTCTTCACGATGCAGTAGCTGTTAAGGTTCACGTGGGCATTTTAAAGAAGCCCCATCTTGCACACTGAGAGTTAGCCTCAGGCTCCAGTGAGCCTGGGTTGAATCCCTCCCTACCTTTGCCCCTTGCAAGGCTCTCTCCTCCCACAGTGTGCAGCTCCTGTTTCTCAGCTTGCAGACCTGGTGAGCCGGGCGTTTGTACAGCCAGAGCTGTAAGGTTAGACTGTTGCCAGGTCCTGGTGGTACTAATTTATTAGCTGGACAGCGCTGGTTACTGTTGTCCTCTCTGACCCTGTCCTCCAGTCTTTTTAGAACTATAAACATCATTTTGATAAGTTTGTGAATTCCTTGAGGCACGAGACCCTGCCTTGTGTTTTTGTATGTCTTACACACATACACTACACTACACACACACACACACACACACACACACACACACACATACATACACTACACACACACACACACACACACACACACACACACACACACACACACTTTGATGAATCAACAGAAAAACAATGAAAATATGTTCATAATACTTCCTGGTAATATCAGGGTTTTGTGTAATTTTTAATGGAGTCTAGGCCAGTACCGTTCATGTTTTGTTTGCTCTTCCTTGCTAATAAAGCTGCTCAAACAGAAGACATTAGTGCAGGTATGAGCACTGAGGAGTTCCGTTCTCACCCAGGAGCTGTGTAGTCTTGGGGCATGTCTCCACCCTCTCTGAGCCTCAACATCTTCCTACCAGGATGAATCTAGATATTTTAATAGATGTTTCGTGCCTGGCTTCCACCCTAGAATAGTTGGTGTCTCTTGGGTTTTATCTGAGAGAATTGCTTTATTGAACCAGAGGGTAAGATGGCCTTGACCTTTGAATGATGTGTCTGAAGAACCACCGCAGAGATCAAGAGTTTCACACAGAAGCTATACGTTGCCTGGGGCTGATGGAAGGGTCATGTGATTGAGGTAGCGGTCACTGGTGGTGTTTTCACCAGGGTTAGCTGTTAGGTAGCTGTCACTGGTGGTGTTTTCACCAGGGTTAGCTGTTAGGTAGCCGTCACTGGTGGTGTTTTCACCAGGGTTAGCTGTTAGGTAGCCGTCACTGGTGGTGTTTTCACCAGGGTTAGCTGTTAGGTAGCCGTCACTGGTGGTGTTTTCACCAGGGTTAGCTGTTAGGTAGACGTCACTGGTGGTGTTTTCACCAGGGTTAGCTGTTAGGTAGCCGTCACTGGTGGTGTTTTCACCAGGGTTAGCTGTTAGGTAGCCGTCACTGGTGGTGTTTTCACCAGGGTTAGCTGTTAGGTAGCCGTCACTGGTGGTGTTTCCACCAGGGTTAGCTGTTAGGTAGCCGTCACTGGTGGTGTTTTCACCAGGGTTAGCTGTTAGGTAGCCGTCACTGGTGGTGTTTTCACCAGGGTTAGCTGTTAGGTAGCCGTCACTGGTGGTGTTTTCACCAGGGTTAGCTGTTAGGTAGCCGTCACTGGTGGTGTTTTCACCAGGGTTAGCTGTTTTCAAGCATCTTAAAAAGAAGGAGTTTGGAGAGAAGACTCGGTGGGAGAAGGTGCTTGCCATCCAAACACCAGGGCAGGACCTTGAACCCCTGTACCCACTTAAATGTCAGGTGGATGTGGCAGCCCACCTGTAATCCCAGCCCTTGGGAGACAGAGATTGGGGGATCCCTGGAACAAGCTGACTAGCTCGACGAGCCAGATCAAGCTCAGGGTTCAAGTGAGAGACCCTGCCTTAACATATAAAATGAAGAGTGAGTGAGGAAGGATACTGTCATCCACCCTTGGCCTTCACAGGGGCATGCACACATGCACGCCCACACACACATGCACACCCACATGCAGGCAATAAGTAAATGAACCATATAGAAACTTTTCTGATATCTTTTTCTGTAAAAATCCCAGTTTCTTAAACTGCCGTCTCTTTCAGGAGACCTGACCCATTCATTCTTACACCACTTTCACTGACATGACCACAACAGATCCCCCCAACATTGTGTAGTGAGGTTACAATACTAGCTGGAGAGACCTGAGAAGTGCCTGAACTTCACAGCCAGCTGCACCTTGCCTAGGTGTACCCTCCAGGGAACTCTGGCCTTTTCAGGCCAAGAGAGGACCCCCAGCATCCGGTTAGTGGGCACTGTATATATATATATATATATAAATATATATATATATATATATACACAGTGCATTTTCCTCCTGGACCCTGTAAACAACACACCAGAGGCAGTACATCTGTGTTCAGGATGGTCTGAACTGGCTGGATGCCTGTATGTAAATCCTCTAGTACATGGAGGTGGGGTCCCAGATGAACACGTGTGGGAGGTGAGGGGCAGTAAGCAGGGGAGTGAAGGGCAGTGCAATGGGCTCATAGCATTTTTAACCAGCTCCAGTTATCCCAAAAGTGCTCATCTAAGCTAGAGAACTCTTACCTCCATCTTACCGTCGGAGAACCCAGATGGTTAGGAGGGAGAGGAGCCTGGCAAGTCGCTCTTCCTGCTTCTAAGCCTGCTACTCAGGTAGCAGACTTATATTTTGGAAAATAACTTATGAATTATCTTAGACACACTGGCCCAGTGCCTCGGGGAGTGACTTTTTGTTATCTTCTTTTATTTTTTTATTTATTTATTTATTTATTTATTTTTTTTTTGGTTTTTCAAGACAGGGTTTCTCTGTGTAGCTTTGCGCCTTTCCTGGAACTCACTTGGTAGCCCAGGCTGGCCTCGAACTCATAGAGATCCACCTGGCTCTGCCTCCCAAATGCTGGGATTAAAGGCGTGCGCCACCACCGCCCGGCGTTATCTTCTTTTAAAATCATTTTTTTTATTTATGGGTATTTGCTTGAATTTATGTGTACCAAGCACACCAGGTACCCCTGGAGGTCACAAGAGGGCGTCAGGTCCCCTGAATCTGGATTTACAGATAGTTGTGATCCCCTTATGTGGGATGTGGGAACCAAACCCGACCTAGGAGAGTCAGTTCTCTTAACAGCTTCTCTTGTTTTCTAGGAATTACCTGTTAGAGGTTACATGTTTCAAAGAAATATATTATTGTTGAAATCTGGTCTCTCCTTGTGGGTGGGTGGTCAGGAATTACTAGCCTCAAACTCACGATCCTCCTGCCTCAGCCTCGGGAGTATTTCCCAGCAAGTCCTCTGAGTTTCATCTTCTAAGCTGCACGGATAGCAGAGGCCTCAGATGACCCTGCAGCAGGTCCTGGAGAGTGGTATAGGTTTACTGCGTAGGGTTGATCCGCTCCGCGCGGCAGGGATCCAGCCCAGCGCTTGGGCCTTCCCTTCGCCGCGCTCGCCGCCGCCTCCGCGCTCCCGGGACCCGCTGGCCCCGCTGGGCGCGCGGCCCGCAGTCTCCGCACGTCGGCCTCCGCCCGCCCGCCCCGCCCCGGCGCGCATTTCCATTTTAAACCGCCGCCCGCCCGCCCGCCCCTCGACCGACCGCGGCCGGCGCAGCAACCCGCGCGCCCCGATCCCCGGGAGAGGCGGAGGCTGCGGGACCGCCGAGCTGTGCAGGAAAAGGCCGTGGGATGCGCTTGGGCCCCGCGCCCTAGACAATGAAGCCGCGGGCACCGCCGCCCGCAGTGGGCCCTGCGCGCCCAGGCCGCACCTGCCGGCGAGGCGGGTTCCGCGCCTGAGCGCCTGCCCGGCCCCCCATGGCTCGGCTCCCCGGGCGCGGACCCCGGCACTCGGGCCGCGTGGCGCGCGGGCGGGCGGACTCCAGGGGCGCTGTTCCCGCAGCCTAAGCGCGGGCCTCGCTGCGCGCGGGGGGCGTGGGCGCCGCTCCCTGCCGGCCCGGGCTCTGCACCTGGCCGGCTCTGCGCCCGCGGCGCGCGTCCCGACGGCCGGCGGCGCTGGATGCAGTCGGGCCTGGGAGAGCGGCGCGGCGGCCGCGGCCCCTGGGGACATGTACCTGCTGGACGGCAGCGGCGAGCCCGCGTCGCCGCCCGCGGACGCGATGCCGCGCGGGACGCCCCCCAGGAAGACCGTCTACCGCATCTCGGTGACCATGGTCAGGAAGGAGCAGCTGGCCGCTCCTGTTCCGCGCCCCGCTCGGCGGCCCCGGCCCGCACGTTCTCCGGACGCGCCCGGGCGACTGGAAGAGGAGGCCGAGGAGGCGGCGGCTGAGGATCCTGAGGCCCGGCCGCGCGCCTGGGACTTCCGCGCTTTCCGCACACGCAGCACCGGGCAGCTGGAGCTCGGGCGGCTGCGGCCATGCACACGCGGCGCGGAGCCCGAGGACCTGATGGGAAGCCCCTCGGCCGAAGGACCCAGCAGCCCCGATGGGGAGGAGGCTCGGGCCGCGCCCCTGCGGCGGAGCCTCAGCTTCAGGCACTGGAGCGAGCCCGAGGCGCCGCGGAGCCCTGCGCTGAGCGGCGGGAGGCGCCACAGCAGCTCCGAGAGCCTGGCATGGGCGCCTGACGACGAGGTCGAGGCGGAGGCCGCCCCGGAGCCGGTGGCCGGAGCGCAGCCCGCGACGGAGAAGCGCAACACCTTGGATGTAGGCGAGGTGCTCAGCAAGAACGACGCGCTCTCGGATCTGGAGCGCTGGGAGCGCAGCAAGAGCAAGAACCGCACGCTGGACAACAGCGACCTGCAGCGGCTAGAGCGTGCGCGGGCCGCGGCCGCTGGCCCTGGGGCAGCCTCGGAGCACCGGCTGCTGCGCTTCTTCAGCGGCATCTTCGCGCGCAGGGACGGCGGGCCCTCACCCCGCAGCGGTGCCCTGCGCTCCCGCGGTTACTTCAGCCTGCGGAGGGCCCCGGCCGACACACACTCATCCAGCGCAGAGAGCATCGAGGGGTCCCCGCGCAGAGGTGGGCAGCTCGGGGGGTGGCGGGGAGGTGGGGGTAGGCTCTTGGACAAGCAGGAGAGCTGTGGGGGCTGGGCCTGCGCTCCGGCAGCCTGCAAGTGTGAGCACACTAGGGCCCTGGAGCAGCGGGGACACCTGCCTTCCCCGATGTCCTGCTTGGGTGGCAGCCTGGGTGGTCCTGAATGCAACCACCCCAGGCTTTATGTGCTTTAACAGTTCTGGGTCTGTCACCTGGTCTTAGTGATCTTGACTAGGGTAAGATCACCTGGCTGGCCAATTGCTGCTCCTCTTGCTAGTTCAACCCTTTCCATCAGCAGGATGGAGCTAGAAGGCGCCTTTGCTCAGACCGGGGTTGGGGGTTGGGGTGGGCATAGCAGGTGCAGCTCCTGGCCAGCCACGACGACGAGCCCACATTTCTCTCGAGTCTATCCTTGCTCCCCTTCTTCAGCGCAGCAGGCTGCTGTTGGTTCCACTATCCGAATGCCGTGATGGCTGATTTGGGTGGTTCTACCTAGGGAGCTTTTGGTAGTCAGCTCATAGCCAGTGAGAGCGGATGACAGGCATCCAGGCCCCTCTCCCTCCACATGTCACTGGGGAAAGCAAGCCAGGTAATGGATGCTAGGGAATGAGGGGCCAGTCCTGCAGCCCATCCTGAAACTAAAGGTGTCTCTTGTCTCTCACATGCCTACTGGGGTCTTGTGGAGAAATTTCTGGGGGTAGATACTGAAAGCAGTGAATTAGCCATATGATTGATAGCATTTGGGGTTCAGAAACCTCCTGAAACCACAAAACATGGATCTGGTTTCTGTTTATCACCTGGAGGGAAAAGACTGGGCACGGATGAGTAATTGTTACACTATTGTGTGTGTGTGTTGGGGGGGGGGGAGGTTGGCATTTCACTAGGACAACTCTTTAATCTTGCTTCCGATTACAAAAAAATGTTGCTGTTGACCACGAAGGTAGAAGCAGTGGAGTATAGTGGTTTCTACAATACCAGCTGGCTCCTGCCACCCTGGAAAGAGCTTCTCCCAGCTGGACCTCACAGGCTAGCTGACTGCCCTAGGTCCAGGCTCACATTAACACCAACTTTGGCAGAGGACCCGTGGAAGACAGACTATTCTCATATTGCTGCCTGTGGTTCTAGAGCAGAGAAGGGTTGGAGCCAACCCTGCCACGGCATGCTTGCCTGCTTGTTTTCTTTGTTTTGCTGGGAGGTTACCTGTCACCAGACTTGGTTGGTTGAGTTGCCTTGAACCCGTCTAGTTTTAGCATGCCTTGCTCCGCTCCAACCATTAATCCCTCTCCATTCCCCTCCCTCCCAATATGCTTTCAAAGTGTCAGAAAATGGCAGGAGTAGTTTTGGGGCCAGTGAGATTGACTCAGCCAGGTAAAGGCACTTGCCACCAAGCTAGTGATCAGGTGTGATCCCCATGGCCCACAAGGTGAAAGAGGAGAACTGACTTCCACAGGTTGCCCTCTGACCTCCCCACATGTACCACAGGGCCAGTTGGCAAACTCACCCATGAAAATAAATAAAAGAAGAAAAAAAGAGTTGGCTTGCATGAAGTGGCCGTTGTGCCATTTGCCCAGAGGAAGTGAAAATTTCGAAAGGTCCCTGTTGACTCTGACAAGCAGGCTTGCATCTCTGTTTTGTGGACTAGGTAGAAAACAGTAATTAGTTGCCTGGGTTCCAGGTAAGTACCTGTCTTACAGAGATGGGGGAGAAGCTCAGGAATGATTGGCATGAATATGCTTCAGCTGCACCTAGGTACAAGTTAAAAGCATTTGAGGTTTTGATGCGTCCTTTGGGACAAACACTTGAAAGTGGGTTTGCAATAGTAAAGGTGTTAAGTGTGTTGGAAGTTTGCCCCCTAGGGATACAAGTTTTTAATAGTAATGACTGTAGTAATGATCTTATTGGCTGTCTCTGTGGACAGACCATCACCACAAACTTTATGGGTCATGTAGAAAACCCACAAGCTGGGTGTGATGGTGTGTGTTTCTAATCCCAGCGCTTGGGAGGTACAATTAGGAGGATCAGTCTCTGATATATATCAAGTTTGAGGACTGGGATACCTTGTCTCAGAAAAAGGGAAAAAAGAAAACAAAACCCAAACTGAAAATAGCATTTTTAAAAGAAGTGTACTGGGTCATAGCATATGCATATCACAGACCTCTTGGGCCTCACATTATTGTAAAGTTCTGAATCATGTGTATGTATGTATTTGTAAATAAAGCTCTACACCTTTCATCCAGATAAAATCGTTGCCATTGCTGAAAATGTCAGAACTGTCAGGTCACTGTCCTCAAGACTTAGGAGCAGCCCGTTCTGTGGCTGTCACAGCTGGCGTTGCAGAACCCCAGCTTCAGGTCTTACCATTTTATCAGGATCCTGTGCAACGGTTTGGTTTGGTTTCTTTGTTTTGTTTTGGTTTTTATGTATTTGTTTCTTAGAATGTCAGTTGTTGGGGCAAAGGTGGAAAGAGAGGTGGTTAAGAGTATATAACTGGCGGGGCGGTGGTGGCGCACGCCTTGAATCCCAGCACTTGGGAGGCAGAGCCAGGCAGATCTCTGTGAGTTCAGACCAGCCTGGTCTACAGAGCGAGATCCAGGACAGGCACCAAAACTACACAGAGAAACCCTGTCTCGAAAACAAACAAACAAACAAACAAAAAGGTTCTTGCAGAGGACCCAGTTCCTAGCACCTACATCAGGCAGTTCATAATGTCCCGGAACATTAGTGCCAGAGGGTTCTGATGCCTTTGGCCTCCACAGGCACCTGCACTCATGCACATACTCATACAAGACATAAATACCCATAACTAATAAACCAGCTCTTACAGGATATATCAGTTGTTCAGAATTTAAGTGTTATGTGAAAATCCCTGCTCTGAAGTTATGGTGGGGTACCCCAGATGCCATGGTTTCCCTTTGTGAATAGTGCCAGGGCCAGGCCCATCCTGCCTTGCCTAAGCTTACTTTGGGGCTCAGGTGGCTTTGCAGGACTGAGAAATTTTATTTTTAGGAAGGGAGAACAGAGCTTGTTATGAAATGTGAAGTGTGAGGTCAGGGGCCGCCTACAGCTGCATGCAGCTGGCTGCTGTTTGAGAGCAAAGCCTGAGCTTGGCTAAACTGAGGAACACCAGGCCCGTGCCAGTACCAAGCTGCTTTTACCACCCCAGACTTAAGCCTCTGCAGACCTGAAACATCATCAGCATCACCAGACACCTCGATGACTTCCTTTAAATGTAGGCCATAATGGTTTGGAGTTCATGAGTATAAAGGGAATTAGAGGTGGCAACACCCACAGACGCTTTCTGTCTATAGCTATTGATTTTGAGTTGGCTGTAGGAAAAGTAACTTTAAATTGGTATTACGAGAAACAGTTTCCCTGTCTTAGAATACATGGCTGGTCTTAGATGTCTCTGTTAGCACAGGCAGAAGCAAAATGGTTAAAATCTTGTTTTAAGACATACACAGAGGCTCTGGACAGATGTGTGGTTGGTTTTCCTGGATTCGTAACTTAAGAGCTTTAGGGTGAAAGGATAGAAATAGCCCACCTTCCCAGGATGCCTCACTGGGCTTTCTCAGCCTGTACAGGCTCTTCTCACTGATGTTTGGAGTCCCAGGATTTATATGGGTTAGACACAGTTTTCAGAAAGACCTTGTGTCAGATCCAGGGCAGTTTTGTGTTATGTGACACACGTGTATTAAGACAGTCTGTTGACACAAATATAAGTCAATACAAGGAAAGATAAAATTGTAAGTGGCTAATAGCACTGACGGGTGTCGCTCTCTGGAGTCTGCTCTCTGTGCCTGACAGGTGCCATTAGACTAACTTGCCACTCCTGGGACCTAGCCGCCAGGCTAGAGATACATGCAGGGTCTTTTACTATGTGGGAGGATTGATTACTGCAATAAAGTGATTCCTTGATAGCTCTGGCTAGGACCAGCTTTTTAAATTAGTAATTTACAACTGATTTTTGAGAGCACATTTCAACAGTAGCCGTGTTCCTTAGTTTCTGATTCCCTTGCTTCTGTATCTCTTAGTTATGATGGGATGAAAAGCTATTAGAGTATCAAGCAAAGGACAAGAAACTTTAGTGGCCAGAAGAAGGAAATAGCAATTAAATGAAAGAAAATTGCTGCTGTAACTTGGTACATTGTTTTCAATTTGATTTGCCACCGGACAGGGCAAATAGCTTATACTGAAACTGTATCATTCACAGCCTTTCATGTGAAACATTTTGAATGATTGTCTACTCAGTCTTTGATGGCGGTAGTCTCTGCATTTTCTAAGCATCAGAATCTGAGATCTAACAGGAACGCAGTTCAGTCTGAAGAGATGAGCAGCAGATTGGGGGTTTTGTTGTTGTTTGGAAGGATGGGCGGGAATTGCTCTCTCCTGGAGACTCAGCAGCTGCACTGGGTATGCCCTGAAGAGTGGCCTTGAAGGTCAGCCTGGTAATCTTTGGGCAACCAGGATTTGTGTTGTGTTCCTCCAGGTCTATGGCCTCTGGTTGGAGCTTCATTTCGGCTTAGGTCACCAGCTTACATCTTTTTTTTTTTTTTTTTTCTTCTCTTCTAACAACCTGGGCTTGGAACATCCTGCTGCTAGAGGAGAGTATTCAGAGATGTGCCCAGAGCAGCAACCTGTTCTGCTGTCTAGTTATTAATGGCTGCTCTTTGTTTGGAAGCGCTGTGGTTTTGATTTTTGTTTGTCTTGTTTTGGTGGTGCACTGACATGTCCACGGGGCATCTGCAGTGTGCTCTGCATTTTCTAAGCATCAGAATCTGAGATCTAATGGAAGCACAGTTCCAGTCTGAAGAGATGAGCAGCAGATTGGGGGAGAGTGAGAAGTTACAGCGAGTCTGCAGGGGACTCGGGCAAGCTGTGACTGTCCCCAGTGTCACATACACTGGCTTTCTCATACCAGCATGCGCAAGCCTCGGTAGTGGGTTCCTCCTGGGCCATTGCTGGTGTTATTTCTCTGTGGACGATGG